TTTTTTATATTTAATAATTTTAATATTTTCTTTTCTTTTGTTCTTGTTATTCTTTCAGACAAGATTTCGGCTGAAATTAAATTCAAATCAGGTGATGGCGAAGTCTTGAAACCTAAAAAGAAGGTAAAAAATTTTTTAAAAATAAATGCATTTGCTTATGTATTTCCATGCTCATAATTATATATAAATATATATATATCAATAGACTGTTAAAGCAGGTGACAAGAAAGTCACATTCAAAGTGAAGGTTAAGGATGGAAAATCCGCCAAGTTCACCGTTACATTGGAGGACAAAGATGAAAAAATTAAAGTCTCGAAAACTTTCATTGTTAAAGATAAAGATGAAGAATGCAAAGAAGATTAAAATCTAATATATGAAATCTTTTTATTTTCATAATTATTAATGTTTTTTTTTGAATTTCTTAGTTTAAGTTAATGATTACGTATAGCCCTTTGTATTTATTAATAATAACATAATTTAGAGCTCTTTGTATCGACGTTTATTTTTTACTAGACACATAATCTATAGCTCTTTGTATTTATTAATAAAGATCTTACAATGTAAAATAATTTTAATAACTTGATATATATTCTGTCTCTGGACAAAGTAGATACCACAAATTATAAGTTCCGGTGTAACATAAAATATTTATGAACTCACCTTTCACTTCCTAACGTAAAAAAGTTTGTAAAATTTTAGAATATTAAATACTTTATACCAGTAACGAACGCATATGAGTGTATGGTTTATATGGCGAGTTAAATGATTTGTCTACAAAATTTGAGATCTGATTGGTCCATGTGACTTGTTTTTTTATTTTTCACATATGATTTTCGTCATGTCCTATAGCAAAATATAATTCTTATCTTTTTTTTTATATATTTAACTTCATAAGTATCTTAAGCATAAAAAAAAAACAGAAGTAATAATGACTATATACATATGTGTAGAGATGGGACACTGCGCAGGCGGAATGTTCGGAAGCTCGGAATTGTTCGGAATATCCCAGAACTTAACAATTATGGCCGTAATGTGGGCCCGTGCAGGTTGCGCAGCCTGCGCAGTAGATTCAAAAAATCCCATCTCACATATGTGCAATTGTAAATGCTGTAACGATTATAGCAAAAGCATAACGTTTGGGCATAAATATTGTTTACCTAATATATAGTTTTTATATATATTCGCTGGATTTTTATCATTTTCTCAGTTTCTTCGTAGGATTTTTTATCAGGTTAAGATAAGAGCGAGAAATTTCGAAATACATAATAGTCAAATTTGAAGATCATTTGAGACCAGGTAAAATCGCCACCCAAAAAAGTTTCGACCATCATGTGACAAATACATCGAGCACTTAAAATTAGAACAACTCAATAAACGTATTATTTATTATAGCCAGAAAGTATTATAATTACGGTTTTTCCAAGTATTTGTAATATTCAATTGTCTTTTTAAAATGATTATAATCATCCAATTTATACAATAGCACAGTTTTTATTAATACTACTGAGCCATTTGTTTTCTTCAATAATTTTTTGGGGAAGTTTTAAGAAGAGTTAACCCAGCGATCATTGCAATATCACGTGACAATCATTTGGCCCGAGTTAGGGTTAG